ACTAAAATGTATTTTCGTAGGGATACTTTTGCATGCAGTATCACTATAATTTTAATCACAGTAATCATGCTAAATGTTTTACAAATGATTGCATAATCTATTCCTTTATTATCTTTTGCTTTTACATTAATATTGTAATTATGCAGTGTTGGGAACAAAAAAATGCATCAATGTTTGGCTTACATTATTATTATTAAATGTGATTGTTATAACAGATGATGAGTTTTGGTTAATTTCAGGTTGTCGTAAAAAATAAAAATTTTCTCTATGTTAATGTCAAGTTGTTCTAACAAAGACATTTTAAATAATGTAATTATAATGCAATAAATGTTTTAAACTATAAGGGCTTACTGTACTACCCAGGTTGGTGTAAGATTTTTACAATGTATTAAACTTTACTAAAAGTACTGTTGTGTCATAGTATTAACACATTAAATGTTATAAAATTGTATTGTGTTTTAACAGCATTCAGCCAGTTTGTAGCTTCCCAACTTAATTTTTAACAGAGTTATCTGATGAGTCTCATCAGTGACATAGTCCTTGAGTGTCTAGCAGCTGATTCCAAGCCTGGCAGCAAATTAGTAGTGTTGTACCTTTCTTTCATCCAGAGTACATCAATTGTTGCTGCAGCACTGCGTTATTTAATCATGAATATTTTCCAGACTGAGAATATTCTGGTGACTGGACACTCTGCCACCTTATTAAAATGACTTTACAATGTAGGAATTTTTGGAGTCCTAAATTTTTAAAACCATGATTCTTTACCTCGATGCGGGTAATCAGCTCCTGCTTGTTTCCTGAGGCGTTCAGAATCTTTGGCAGTTTTCTTGAGTTAATTTTGTTTAGGATTTTGCAACGTTTTGAAGGTTAATTTAAAGGGTTCTAATGAGTATTGGTGGCAATGTAATATTTTATGCCAATATTTTTTTTCTTTTCCTTTTTCTGCTTGAGGACTGATCCTAAGCCTACAGCCATCAGTGACACCAGATTTTCTTCACACCATTTTCTTTGAGTTTCGTGATACACTACACAGCTAACTTTGGAGGTTCCTCCATCTTTTCCATTTCAGTATTTATTTAAATGTTTTCATATGTATTTAAATGTTTTACAAACTTAATTTTTGATTCAGTTTCACGAAAAATGTTTTCTCCTGCAATGCATGAGTAAAAGACATTACAAGGTTAACTCTGTAAATCTTCATATTTCGCTGGTGAAACTCATAAAATCCTAATGAGAAGGTAACCGCACTGCGAGGGTAAAATGATGTTGAAAGCGTGTTATCTCATGTTTAGTTTGGGGATCAAGGTACGTATCTATTTGTAAACAGTATACAATTGTAAATGATTTATTTTCTGTAACTCAAACAAATGACACATGATGAGTGGGAGGTTTGTACTGTGTGAGTGAAGGTGCGATGCAGTCCTTGTTATTTGTAGCTCTTTACTCAGAGGATCCCACCAGTCAGTCATGGGTCGTTCTAGGAACCAGATGTCGACATGGACACTGTGCGTGTTCTTATGCATGATTGGAGCTAACATGGCCAATCCGTAAGTTTACAAAAATGTCTGGAAGTACTGTATTTACCAGAATTTGTTTTTCAATGTATGGAGTGAATTCAGGTCTGTGGATTTGTCCCATGAGAGTTCAGACCAGTCAGATAACAGCTGTCTGTGTGAATCTGTCTGTAGATATTACATGGTGACCATTCCTGCTGTCCTTGAAGCTGGAGCTCAGACCAAATTCTGTGCCAGTCTCCTTGAGCCCAATGAGACTCTGACCATGACCGTCACTTTGAAGTCAGGAGAAAAAAATACGACTCTTTACGAGAAGACGTCTAGTGAGGAGTTTCATGAATGCATCCAGTTCCAGGTCGACTTTTAAGATGGTTTTGAATCTACTTGACCTTCAATGAAATAGTTTTGAATGCAGTTTTACAGATGTGAACTTTATTAGCCCATACAAACTGCAGAAATATATCCATGGTTCATGGTTTCACAGATGTTGTTTTGTTTTGTTTTGTTTTGTTTTCTTTGTTATATTACAATTATTGATTTATTTTAGGTTCCTTTAGTAAAAAATGAAGAGGTTCAGAAATTGGAGGTGCAGGTACAAGGAAACACATTTTACTCAGAAGAAGTCAGGAAAGTCCTAATCAAAGCCTACCAACCCATGACCTTCATCCAAACAGACAAACCGATCTACCTCCCTGGACAGACAGGTAATGGGGAACTCCTCTAAAATAAAAACTCTGTTAGATGGATTTGCTTTTTGATTTTGTTATAAATGAGACAATCAGCTGCTAATAGGTGAAATCTTCATGTACTCTCTCAGTACGTTTCAGAGTGGTCACAATGGACACAAAGTTTAGACCAGCCAGCCAACTGGTGAGTTCTCCTTTTTATTTTTAAACTGATATCATTGGGGCTGAATACTTTGTAAATATATCATTTATACTGACATTTGGAGCAGAACACAAGATTGACCATGAAAAATCATTACTAAATAGAGTGCATATTATCTTTAACCAAACAAATCAAATCAATTGTGCAAACAATGCCTGTAAAGCAAATTTGTTTATACTTTAACATTTTGTTGCTGATGCTGTGACAACTCAAATCTTGTAAGCTTAAAAAGTTGAAGCGCAATGAAATATAGATTGTCGCTAAATCAATTAGGCTTTTAAACCATTAGCTGGAATAACTTACTTTTATTGTGTTTGGTTGTGTTTTATAATTGGGATCAAATTAGGAAATATGTAATAGAATTTCCATCTCTCTATATGATTCACTTAATCTGATTTTATATTTCTGATGCATACTGAACCTGTGGATCTTGTGAAGAGCTTTAAGGTGGCATCATCATAAACATCTCGTTAAAGTGAATGAAATTATTGTCACAAACTATTCATATCAATCCAGCAAATTTTACTTTAGAAACCTGTAGAAAATCTGTTTTTTTTTTCTAAAACACCATTATTTTAATGACCCCTAAAATCTATCAAAAGATTACATTTTTCCTTTTTTATCCAACAGTATACCATCATCAAACTTGAGGTAAGAAATCTAAATTGTCTTAAACTCTTAGTCTAGTTTTTATATTTAATGGAAGATCACAAGATTATACTTTAAGATTATACCCACTGAATGAAGGCAGCACTTCATTCAGTGAGCAGTGAAAGTGAGCCATTGGTTTCCATTAATGGAAATATTAATTTTGTTCCAATTTCATATGATTTTAAACTTATTAAACATATGGCCCAGTTTTATTTTGATTTATTTTCCTCAACAGGATCCCAACAACAACAGGATTGGACAATGGCTCAATGAAACATCCAACAGCAAAATACTGCAGCTCTCCTACCCCCTAAACTCTGAGGCCCAGGAAGGATCCTACAAAATCATTGTGTCAGCAGGAGAAAATAAAATACAGCACAACTTTAAAGTGGAGAAGTATGGTAAGTTTTCTAGTCAATCCCAGAGAGATCTGTCCATTTTGGATTAGATGTAAATGTCTTGTGTTTTTCTCTAGTTCTGCCCAAATTTGATGTAACAATAAATGTAAAAGAAGAAGTTAGTGTTGGGCAGGAAGTAATTGAAGCTAAAGTGTGTGGAAAGTAAGTAAGCATCGTTCTTTGACTAATGTTCTTTAGAGACCGTAAATCTTTTTAAAAAAAACAATATGAAATGGTTCTTTTGTGGATGACTTTTTAATCTGTTCTAATTTAAATAGGTACACATACGGACAGCCTGTGCCAGGAAATGTTACCGTGAAAGCGTGCCGACCTTTTGTTGATTACATTTCCAAGAGTCAGAGGAAAGAAACTCCTTGTGACATTCAGACACAGAAGGTAAGGCTGATTATAGGTTTTTGTTCATGTTACTCAAACTTACTACTAAAGTCCTGTTAGGTCAGAATTTAATTTAGAGTTCTTTACGTATAGTAATGACAATCACTGCTTAATAAAATCAGAAAGGAACTACAACCGTGTTTTGTCTTTATCTTGGTTTTCTACAAAGAACCTGCAGTTTTTTGCTTGTATCTGTTTCTACCATTTGCTGGCTTTTAGAAATCATGAGGAAAAAGTCATTTCTCTTGATAAATGTTCATATCATCAAGTCATGTTTTAAAATATATGATGATTTTTTGTTTTTTTCTTATAGGCAGACAAAACAGGATGTAGTACTTTTGAATTCCAAATGTCAATTTTCACAAGAGGCGATCAAATAGATTTACAAGATAAACTTGATGTCACTGCCACAGTGGAAGAGGAAGGAACAGGTAAGTCTTTTTTGCACAGTGCCTTTATTCTCATTTAAGAGTTTGTATTCGTGATGATATTATTATGCAAGGCATGACTGTTATTACATGGTAGCTTTTCATATTTAGGTACATCACTCTCACAAGTGAAGCAAATTCAAATCTCATATGTTATTGGAAAACTGTCTTTTGTTGATGTCCCAAATGTTTATGATCAAGGCTCAGTGGTGGAGGGAAAGGTAAGAGTAACACTGTGATTTCTTTGTTTTTTGGCACCTAATTAAAGCACAGCTTAAGTGACACAGTATTGTACTTTCAACAGGTCAAAGCTGTTCACTACAATGACACACCCATGTCACACCAGTCTTTGTACCTGTTTAAAGATTATAATTGGCCTCCACACGTTCTTCAGAAACTCACAACTGACGTCCATGGTTTTGCCTCATTCTCTCTCAGAACTGATGCATTAACAGAAGATATTTTTCTTCGTGTAAGTAAATCACAACTGTAGACTTAACTCAGTGTGTCATATGTTAACATATTTAAATAAATGGACCAAAAGGCTCCATTCTGTGTAGCCTGGTAAAAACCAGCCCATTTGCACTACACTTTGATTCATACAGAGGGTCCAGGCTCTCTGCTGTTGAGAAACCATTGCTTCCTGGATGCAAGGCTTGTGTTGAGGTTTTAAACGTTACCCAATTGCTAAAGTTGTCCCATAATGTATGTAATGTGCCAATTCTATGCAAAGAACCTAATCAGAAACTGCCTATGGTGCAAACAATCATCCTCATCCGATCTGAACCAGGTGGCTGCTAATGTTAATTTAATATCTGGAATTGTGGTCAAAACTGACTGAATGCTCATACGTGCAACTTCCTTCTCTTCCTCTGCTAAAACTACACTCAATTCTAAAACAGCACAGAAATTCAACAATATTGTTCACAACTACTTCTGTTTGGCCCGGTCACAAATCGACCGGAGACAATCCGAGTCAAGGAGAGAGTCAAAGAAGCAGCAATGTTTTTCGAGCGGAGTTGAACAGGAAGCAAATGGCCAGGCTACAGATTGTGTGATCTGAACAAAAGAAACTAGAATAAATGAAATCTTACTTAATCAGCTCTTTGTAATTTTTTTTTCTTTTAACAGGTTAGCCCCTTACCATCACTATCCTACTCTACATATAAAGTTCCTCATATTCCGATAGCATCTCACACTATTACAAAGTCTCAACCTCCATCTGTTACAACAACCAGCTCCCTGAATATAAAAAACAAGACAATACTTCCCTGTGACAAAGAAACAGAGATCTTTATTGAGTACACTTTGGTGCAGGAATCTCCAGACTCTGTGGATTTCATTTACCTGGTGAGTCGTATCACAAAATGAAACACAGATTATTACTGTTTTCAGAAGAAGAAATCACACACACAGAGTTATATGCTTAGCGACTAAGTCAAGGTTTAGAAATTAGCCAGTAGAGAAATTGTGCTTAAACCATCCATTAGAAGTGATGAATTAAAAATGACCTGTATAATGTGTCACAGTACAAATATGTTAATGGAAAATAAAACATTAATATTCTAGATTATTGATCAGATCAGAATTTAAAACACACCCATAGTAGTAACTAAAAAAGTGAAAGAAATTTAAGTGCAGCAACTGGGGCACAGTGAATGTTTAGATGGATAGATCTACAATCAGTTAGTGAGGAAATACAGTAAAAAAGTTTTTTTTTTTCTACAACTTCACAGGTTTTATCCAGAGGAGCTATTGCTAGTCAAGGACGAATACTGGTTGAGGTGGAAAATAAATCAGGTGAATAAATGGAATATCAACATTACCAAGTTTTAGATTTGTACAGCCAAGAAATACTTGATGGTATTATAAATATCCAGTTTAAATGACGACAATTCAAGGATAACATTTGGACTGATTTTTCAGTGAATGAAGGTGAGGTGTCCTTTAAGCTCAACGTGTCTCCAGACTTGGCTCCAGAAGTCCAGATTATGGTTTACGCTGTCCTACCCAGCAAGAAGGTGATCAGTCAAAGTACTGACTTCTCCACTGAGAAATGCTTTAACCATAAGGTAAGTATGGATTTAGATGAATCTGTGAAAAGACTCACAGATTTATGACGATACCAAAAATGTCTGAAGGAGAACTCTCTTGGTGATCCGTTTAGTTTGGCTTGAAACAAGTCACTATATGTTGCACAAAATAGAATAATCTCAATGTATTTATAAATCACAAATTTATAAACAGGCTACATGTATTTATGTATGTATATAGGTGCATGTGCACATGCACATATATACATGCATATACACATGGAGAGTCTGGAGAGAGACAATTATTCAATACAATAAGAACAAATGACTGTGATGACTTTTAGTATCTTCCTATTAAAAATAAAATATCTTAATTAAAAACACAACAGCCATTGTTCTGCTCGTTCTCAGGTCTCTCTGGAGTTTTCTTCATCATCAGCTGTTCCAGGAGAGGAGACCAACCTGCAGCTGACGGCTCAGCCTGACTCTCTATGCGGTGTCAGTGCCATCGATCAGAGTGTCCTCATCAAGGAGCCTGGAAAGACTCTGGATGCAGAGAAGGTAACTCCTAAATATTAGGAGGCTTTTTCTTCCATCTTTCAGATGAAAGGGAATGCTTTAAATGTATTTTTCCATATTGAAACTGCTCAGCGAACATCTGTTTCTAGATTATTACTTTGAAACATGTGTTTCTTTTTCAGATATTTAGTTTGCTGCCTGTCAGAAAAGTATCAGAAATACCATCTGAGGTTGTGGAACCTATGGATTGTTTACTAGTGAGTCCAAAGAGAAAATATTCTTCTTTGTGAACTTTTATGTTCTAAGGAACTATTGATGTCCCGGTGTTGCTTAAAACTGAACAACCCATTTCACATGAAGGCTTTGTTAACTCACCTTTTCATGCTGTGTGTGACAGGATATGAAGAAATTGGGACTGAAGATGGCAACAAACATGTTTACTGGATTGTTACAATGTTCTAAAATTTTGTCTACTATGTCAAGTGTATATGACTATGGTATGCATGCATTGGAACTTTGTTGTCTGTTAATAGTGACATGACAGATATTTGGAAAAAGTAATTATGTCATTATTGCATTTTGGTCTTGTTTAATCTCCATTTTCTTTCTTTCTGTGTTCTTATTTTCATTCAATTAACCTTTACAAGGGGTGCCAGCCATGGCATATTATGAACTGTTCTACTCCGAGAAAGTAGAAGACATTGTACAAGATTCAGAAGGTGAAGCAGAAGAGATCTTAGAACCCATAAAGACAGTTCGCACCTTTTTTCCTGAAACTTGGATATGGGACTTGGTGGAAACTGGGTAAGCCAGAGGGATCATTAGATCCTAAAAACAACAATTTGTATTTAACTAGTTTTACTCTATGCAGGCATAATTTCATTTTTTCTTTTTTTATATAGATGTGCACTTTTAGGCTCTGAACATAATTCCCTGTTATCAGTTTGCCTTTTTTTGAGACATGACCAATAAATCATCTTTTACAAATTATATTTTTAGGCAAAAAATCTGCCAGGTTTGAATTCTGCTCTACATTTGTATTCTGACATGATAATAATATTATATTAAGAGCAGATATCAAGAATTCCCACATCTGACTTTTGTTCACCCAGATTTATAATTACTAAATCACACACTGTAGTTTCATCATTTGACAAAGCTGTCAAATGGTTACTTACTCAACAATGAGTTTTTGTTTTAAAATTCTTTATTCTACTAAATTGTGTTTCATGAATTGACAGATTGTGTATCTGTTGATCCAGATCTTCTGGAACCAAGAATGTGTCCCTCACTGTCCCAGACACCATCACCACCTGGGAGACGGA